TGTGGTGGAATTCTGATAAACATTTTACTAGTTAACCACTTTTTGATATCTTTTAAAAGAAATGAGATATATAGGCTCAAAGTGGACGATCCGGGTGTCGTTCTATTAGAGGTTTTACGGTATTTGAACTTCCGAATTTCTTAATTCTCATTTTCTAAAAACCATCAGTTAGTTTGAATCAGTTTAGCGTGCTGTAAAATTAGAACTTCGATTGAGAGGAGACTTCTAAATTTGGCTCAACAGCCAAGAACAGTTTTTATATGTACACATTTTGAATTATCAAACCTTAACAATTCGTTAGAAATTGTTTTTAAAAAATTGCCGTACCTCATGTTTCCTAATGTTTCCTTATTCCAAGTTGTTTCCGATAATTTACTCAAATTGTGGTATTTAAAATTTGTTCAGACATCTGGTTCAGGTTGTACTTACCTTTGAGAGATTGAATTCGAAACATTCAACCTACTTATTTATAACGTAAACTGTCCTGAATAGATTCGTGAACCGTATCTACACACCAAGGGGCATTCAACTTTGTTTTTTTTTTTTGGAAAATTGTGTCACGCTGATTTTTTCCGTGACACTAGATTAGGACAGCTGATAAGAGATTAGGTCAACTGATAAGAAAATCCAGCTTGGAATCAAAACCCGCGAGCGCATAGCAAGTTCTCAAATCAGTTCTCATTGGGTTGCGAGGAATAAGATAATGAGTCATCCAAACATTGATTCTAGTATCAACAAACGATCAAGTTCAGAAGGAACCACGGAAGTGAGTTTTTGAGAAAAGATAATCATCTTCCTTATATATAAAACGTTAGAAACTTCTGTTGGTCCTGGTGTCATGCTTTCCTATTTTGAAAAGCTAAGTATAGATAATAAGTATAGATACGTGACCTTTAAGAAAACGTGAGATGCAAAACAACGAACCAGTAAAAAATCTAGATTGAAACGCGCCGAAGGCACACCAGCTTGCTGGTTTGTGATATTCTGATGAGATTTCCAGGACATTCAAGATAGACGTCAGGAGATGACTGCAGTTCAAGATAGACGTCAGGAGATGACTGCAGCAGTCAGTGATGAGAAAGGGAGTGATAAAAAGGAAGACAAATGTAGTGAAAGAAAGGATGAATCGGTTATTAACAAGTCCACTTACATTGATAAAGATGTTGTTAATGATGAGGAGTTGTACAAGAGTCTTCAGGCAATGCCTTTTTATCATGGATTTCTTCCTCGCGATGATCTGGGAGTCATTATTCGAAACGAGGGAGACTACTTGATTCGTGTGACCGAGATAACAACGGTATGTACAGTATTTCCTCGAATAGAAGCCCAACCAACTTCAAGCTCAATTATCTTGATACCAAATAAAAGATACCAAAAAATTGTCAACTGATAAAATTATTATACTTTTCACTGGAATCAAGATAATTGAGCTCGAAGTTGACGGTTTGTGTGAGACAATATGGTATCTGGGAGATGTTTTAGTTATTAAAATGAATTCAGAGAAAGGACGGAAACCTTGGAATCAAAAGAGACATTGTCTTGTCCGTCTGCTCTTCGGATCGTGTTGGAACTGAAGGAGACACGAAAGATGCAAAGTCCGAAAACCCTGGTGAACGGAAGATGCGCAATTTGGTGATTCGTCGTTATGATGGAGCGTATGCAATCAAAGGAGGCCACTCTTTTCCGACTATTGAAGCTCTTCTAGCCAATCATCACGTCTCCAATACATCGGAAACGAAGGAAAACCGTTTTTTGAAGACTCCGATTGAGTTGCAAAAATGGGAGTACAGACATTCGGCAGTGAAGTTGGGCGACAAACTGGGAGAAGGAGCTTTTGGAGAAGTCAGAAAAGGCGTTTTGCAAAGAAAGGGAAGGAAATTGGATGCTGCAGTGAAAATGGTGAAAGGAGGAGAGTTGAACAAATTGAAGATCAGAGAAATGATGAATGAGGCTAGATTGATGAGAAATTTCAAGCATAAGAATGTGGTTCGATTCTTCGGAGTTGCTGTTGTTGAGCAACCATTGTACATCCTTTTGGAATTGGTCAATGGAGGAGCTCTCAACACATATCTTCAGGTAATCTTTACTAACAACATTCCCCTAATTCCGTATGTAAGGCTTTATGTCTTTGCACCCAACGAAGATCCATCGGCGAGCCACTCAAAAGCAGAAGAAGTTATTATTTTATGAGATTATTGTCAGAATAACTATAGTTTTTTATAAGAAATGAAATATATCGATTTTAAACAGACGATAGGCGGCTCAACGGCGACTGAGTGGACACGTTGGAATAATAATGCGAAATTTCATATATTAATATCATATTTGAAAACTTCTAACTACAGTAATCCAATCTATTTTTGATTTCAGAAGAACAAGAATGTCAGTAAACTGGAGCTTGTTGGAATGTGTCTTGGTGCAGCTCAAGGACTACAGTACCTTCATGCCAACCACTGTATCCATCGAGACATTGCTGCTAGAAACTGCCTCTACTCGATTGACAAAGTAGTCAAACTCTCTGATTTCGGACTTTCTGTGATTGGGAATCAATTCAAATTGTGTGCTTCGCAAAAACTTCCAATCAAGTGGCTTGCTCCCGAAACCATCACTACTCTCTACTTCACACCGAAAACGGATGTCTACAGTTTTGGAGTCATGTGTTATGAGATATTCTCGGAAGGAGAAGAGCCATGGGATGGTGTTACCAACACCGAAACTAAAAAGAACGTCGTTTTTGGAAGACATCTGATTATGCCCGATTCTTGTCCGGAAAAATTCCGATCATTCATTCATGAGAAGATCTTTGTTGTGGACCCGAAAAGACGTGTTGTCATGGATGATGTCGTCCGGTTCATTGAACCAATCATCAACGATATGCACAATGCAGCTGCGATTAGCACAATGGCTGAAGTGAGAAATGTTCTGGTTCTTTTTTTCAATCGCATATCATTTTCAGAAATCGGAACGCTTCACCAAAACTTCGGATGTCAACCGCTCAGTGATGGCCTCTGTGACTGGTGGATCCACTCCTCGCAAGGCTTCTGAGTCTTCCAGAGACACCAAGAATAAAGCCAATAAAAAGAAAAAGTAAGATTTTTCCAAATTCCATTTTTTGTATTCTCAAATTTCAGAGCTGCGGGACAAAAAGCTGGAAACAAAACTGTCAGTCACACCATTGAGAAGTAAAATTGAGTGTTCACTTGAATTTATTGTATAAAAATGAATGTTTTGGTATTTATTGTTTCACTATTTTTGTTAAAAAAACAATCATTTTTTGACGACTGCATCTAATTGCTTCTGTAAAGCTTTCCGATGAGTTTCGCCGTTCCAGACTTGTTGTAATATCGTTTTCTGTTCTTCTTTTCCTTTTTTAACAGCATTGAGCATTGCTTTCTGAGCTTTAGTCACTGCCAAACCGCTACTAGCAATCTGATTGATGAAGCTCTGAAAAAGGAAATTACAGAGTACGGTATCGTTCATTTCTTACATCTGCTTCTTCATCCGTTTCGAATACAAAATCAACATAACCCTGTTTCTTTGCTTCTTCTGCCGACATAACGTTAGCTCTTCCCATTGCTGCCAGTGCTTTTCCTCTTCCCATTATTTTTTCCAAATACTCAGCACCTCCCCACGATGGGACAATGCCCATTTTAGATTGAAAAAATGCAATTTTTGAAGTGGAATGTGCAATACGAATGTCAGTCGCTGAGCAGATTTCAGTGGCTCCTCCGAGAGCATGTCCATGAATTTTAGCTATCGAAATGGCTGGAGAAAAGTGAAGAAGGGAGAGAATGGATGACATATATTCGAACATATCAACACCAAGTTTCTGATCAGAAATCTGAAAATTGGATAAATGAAAGAGGATCAGGAATAAATCCATCTTACATCTTTGATAAGTCCTAGATCTGCTCCTGAGCAAAATGATTTTCCAACTCCAGATACAACGATTACTGCATTTTCCTCATTTGAGAACTTCTGAAAACTTTTGGTTTGGGATGAATTAATTTAAAATGTTTGAGTTAAATTTTTGAGTTATACCTCTACTTGCTGTCCAAATTGTTTCATCATCTCTCCAGATAGACAATTCTTCTTCTCTGGACGGTTTAGTATGATATCGAGTCTTGTTTTCAATTTGACATTGTTCTGAACCTGAATTGCTCCTCCTTTCCATGAGGAAAATACCTCCAGCAGAGCAGCAGATGGCCTCACCTAAAATTAATTCTATGTTTGGAATTTTTTGCCCCAAAGAAGAACCATTCGGATCCTAACCATTATTTTTGTTCAGAAAAAAAGCAAAATTACATGCATATTCTTGAAGCTGTCGTTTCGTGGTTTTACGAAACATTATTAGGTTACTGTAGTTGTCGTTGTGGCATCTTCGGCCACAGCCATCAAGACGGCGTTTCTCTTCCACAGCTCCGACTTTTTTGGACATTCCACCGATTCCGAGAAAGGGGTTGTCTCCGAGGAACCGATTCCTCGGAATCGGTGGAGTGTCCTTTTTTGTACCAGAATAATACTATAGGCTAAATATAGTCTATAGCAAAATGAAACTCCGGAATTTTTGAAAAACGAGACTTACCGCCAGCCTCGCCATGCTTCTTGGTGCGAAGCCTACTGTAATTCAAAAATAGATCGTTTATTGAATTATCTTTTGAAAATGATATTGGGGTAATCGAAGATCTACGAACGGCTATCGTTTCGAAAAACTCTATCTATAGAAAATCGCAAATAGTGAGAAAAAGTTATAACAACAGTATAATACAGGAGAATAATTTATTGCTATGAAACACGGATTGCTGTGGGAGTCGGCGAAAAATTAAATAGACATAGAAATTATGGGCAAATAAATAAACTATATCAAAAGACATCAAGAAAACAAGTGATGTTTCTGCTAAAATGACTGGACACTGGGTGAAGGGAAATGCCACATGAGACGCAGAAGTTGGAGAGATAGAGATGAAGAAAAAACATCACTGATCTCACAATTTTTTGGCCAAACGAGAAAGGCGGAACATTGCTAAAAAGTGTATTTAATGAAAATAAATTATGACAAGCTGGGTTGAAGGGTTTTGGTAGAAAAAAGGCAAAATACTATAAGTGATTGCAATTCGTGGTACCTGGGTTTTTCTAATTGATTAGATTGCATGAACTAATCATGTAATTCAGTGAGAAACAGGAACGCTATATTATTTTTACATACTCGAAGAAGCAACTGGGAATGTATAGGAAGTGTTATATTTTCCGTTATAATCCAAACGGATCATTCGAAGAAGCTTGAGCCTGTTGAGCTTGTGCAGCATTTTTGGCAGCCATTGCTTGATGAACCATCTGAATTGTCTGTTGTTGTTGAGGTGGCAGTTGGGCTGGCTGTCCGAAAGCATATTGTTGGCCATACGGTGCTAGAAAGATAAGTTTAATGACTTATACTTAACTTTAAGAAAAACAAACCCATAGCTGGATTCCACATCGGTTGAGCACCATACGTTTGTTGTTGATACATTCCCATTGGAGCAGTGTACATTGGCGGAGCAGCGGCAGCACCGAATGGGTTGCTAGAAACAGCTGCTGTTGTGGTATTCCAGCCAGCCGGAACGCTGAAAACATTCACAGTTTATTGAAGCATTAACGAACTCTAAATATTAGAAATAAAGAAAGCTTGAAAAATTACCCCTGTTGGTTGAGTGACATTTGAGCAGTCATGCGAGCGAGATCATCGGGATGAGATGCTGGATATCCGAATGGAGTTGCTCCATGCCCTGAAAAATGAGCACAGTTTTGATAAAGATTCATAATGATGATGTTAGTCGAAAAGTCACACATAAGAAATTGAAAAAGTTGCTCGTTTTATTTCGAAAGTCGATATTACACATGTTCTTAAATTCTGTTCACCTGGACCCCCAAAAAGATGCGCTTGCGCTCCCGGATCAGCGAATGGGTTATGAGCTGATCCTGGCGGAGGAGATTGTGGAACGTGAGCCGCAGCAACTGAGGCTGAAGAAGGTGGGGGAGGAACTGGTGGAGCATTGTGGTGCATCGGTTGGTGAGCAGTAACGAACGGATTTTCTGGCTCTTAAATCATAGTTTCTTGATCCGAAATTGTCGGGATGCCGGAGTTACAACGAAGATACCGAATCACGACAGAAGAAACGACCACAAGGAAAAACTGATGTATGTTAATAGCTCAGTTTTCTTCCATATTAATGCAAGCAGGGAGCACATACAAGCGTCGTGACAACGAGGTTCACATCACAGAATGTCCGGTCACTTACCATTCGTTGGCTGAGACTGAATTGGAGGTTGCTGTTGAATATTAGCATAGAATGGAGCCGATGAATGGCCAGGTGGTACCCCGAACGGAGTTCCGTGAGGCGCTATAACATATGGAGTGGGCCGAGAGAAACAGAGGAAGAGAGTAAAGCGGTAACATATGGGATCGTACTTATAGAAAAAACCATTTTCACTGTTTTTTCGAAATTTCATCAAACATTTTTTTGACTCTTGATAATTTGGTGTGATCTTACCATTAGTAGCCGGGAACGTATTCTGAGCTGGGAAGCTTCCGAAAGGATTAGTAGCATCAATTGGAGCAGAAGCGGCGGCTGGAGCTGCAGATGCCTGGAACATATCAAGAAGATCCGGTTGAGTCGTTGGCGGTGCGGGACCGGCTGCTACGTCATTCGCAAATGGATTCGCTGAGTTAATAGTCTTTTTCTGATCTTTGAATTGCCTTAAGCGTTCTTGCTCCAGTTCGATATATCTTTGTCTTTCGGCGTCGCCAAGAGTTGGTTGCGGTTGTGAGAAACCAAATCCACCAGCAAATTGTTGTTGCGCAGCCTGTTGTTGTGATGGTGGTGGAGCTTTTCCACCTTCAAGGTGGATCAGATGAGCCTCGAGGGCTTCCAGGAGACTGGCTGGAGCACGAGTTAGGTCTGGAATCTCTCCACGGTCAATTCCAACTGATTCAGCCACGCGGAGGAACTCAGCAACTTTATCGAGGCGAGTGAGGAACGACTGTAAAATTGTTTCATATACTATTTAAATTAAATATTAAGTACTTACCTTGTAGGTGTCTAAAGCATCACGACACTGTTTCTTATTCATGTCAAAATATTTTTCGAGAACATTGATTATTCCATCGTTGTAACAAGCGAAAAGACGGATGAGATCACGGAAAAGAAGAATAAATGAACAGTTAATGACTCCGTTGTTCAACTCTGAACTGCTCACAGAGAACTCCAGAAGGGCATCAATCTGGTTTTGCAAGATGGGGATAGTTTTGAGCAACTTGTCCGTATGCATCGTACGCAGAAGACCATCTTCACGACCACGTTTGACCTGAAAATGGGAAAGGTTCGGTGGCAAGAGTTCATGTGATACTAACCTTGCAGAAATCAAAGGCACACATACGGTATGTGTTTATCTTTTCTCCGATATATTTAGCATATCGTCTAACATGCGTCGACATATCATATCCACCGGCTCCTCCACTCTTGTCGACGAATGCCGTCAAGTTGAAAGTAGTATTGCAAGAAGCCAAGTACTGCGAAAAACGTTCGTTTCCGTAGCACATGATGTTATGAATGGTTATCAGTGCCTTGTAAACCACAGTCCAATTCGGATTTTGAGTCCTCTCGATCAAAAGATTAGCCATGGAAGGAATCGAAACATTTGGCTCGTTGGTACAATGAAGAAGGTCTGAAATAGACATTCTGTGTTACAACTGATGGATTTACACAATTTTTTTGAATGGATTAATTTTTTGTATAGGTGCCTTGTCATTTCTACTTGAAAGGGCTGTGTTTGAGACCTCCCCAAAACGGTTCTAGAGATGAATATGTTCATGAGCACTTTCGATCGAAAAGGTTTTTATGTAATTCGTTATAATTCATCACACTTACAGTCAAGATGTTTTTTCTTCGGAGCCATAACTTCTTCCGTAGTCGCTTTGCATATTGTCTTTCCAAGTTGACTTCCTGCCAAAGAATGCTTAGCCGCAGTCAATCTGAATCACTTTTTTATATGACAGAAACCCAGTGTCTATTTATCAGCGTCAATTCATGTTCACATTCTTTTGTGTTGATTCTGTATAATTCAGGAAGACGACCCACACTAATATTATATTCCCAATTAAAAAATCAGCATATTTTTCCTGGCATAAAATTTAAAAAAAATTGTAAAATTATTATGTTGTTCGAATTGGTGGGAACATTTTTTGAACTGATGGTGAATCTTGAACATGCCTGACGAAGACTATTATGCGAGGGAATTATCTCTATCCATGATTATAATTACACTTATTCAATTTTCGAAAACATAACTCACCGGTCAGAAATAGTTTGGCCGCCAGTCGTGAAAGGCATCGGTTGATGCAGCGCTTTCTCGATAGTCTGCATGTCGAGCAGGAGGTTGGCGCCAGTATACCTGCAGTAAGCAAACAAAATTAGGTGCATTCGATGCGTCAGAGAGAAAAAGATTGGTGAAATGTTTATTGATTGTCAACTTTTTTCTTGGTTAAGAACATCTGATCGAGTTTCACAAGCGCATTGATATTGATTATTAGAAATTACTATTTGATACGGTAATCGTTGTGAGACTAAACATGAGAGACGATTTAGGTATGCGCCTTTGATTACTGTACAGGGAGAATTTCCGCGCATTTTTCGCTGATTTTGTGAGAAATTGCTCGAGCAACAAAGCCAGAAGGCCATGAAAACTTTGAAAAGAAACAATATCTTTGCAAAATTTGAAAAACAAAATATAATTTTTAATTTTAATTGAAATGTTGTCTTTTAGATGGCTGATATTCCGATATAAACTTTGAACTTGAAAGCCAAAAATGATCATTAAAAAAACGGAATTCGACAAAAAATCACTAGGTGGTAAATCCCGCTTTTTTCGAGGGAAGCTCAAAAAAAGTAGGCAAGAAAAGGCAAATAAGAGGAAAGGAAAGAAGAAGCTGTGTGCGGGTGGAAAAAAAGAAAGAAGTTGTGTTGGCGACGAGGCTTGACGAACCAGTGAAAATCGATGGAGAGAAGTAGGGAGAGGGTGTCCACAGCTAGTGCCGCCGCGCAGTAGTCTCTTCTCTTTCTCTCTTTTCCTCGGGAAAATACGGGGACCGAGATGAGAGATTGAACGAGAGGGAGAGACTCAGAGAACAAATGGCGGGGACGACGCCATCGAGGGATTCGATTCTGATGGAAAAGTGAGGAAGGGGAGCGGAAGTAGACTACTAGCACATATTCAGAAGTGAAATAAACATTATTGGAATATGATATTTGATCGAAGCTTTCAATGATCGAGAAATCGAAGAGGCGTATAAACAAACCAAACAGTGATTATGAAACGTTATTGCTGATTCACTGGCTTAAGGATTTTTTCGTCTGCGCGGTACTTCTAAAAACAACAAAAGCCTTCATGGATAAAATTAAATAATTCTTGACAGTGATACTTTTTGAGGTTAAATATTAGAAGGCCATAAACATTTATAAAAATCATATTTAAATACACACTAAAAAGATTTTTTGAGGGGACCTTTTTCCACCGATGTGGGGCATATTTTATTCGGCGCCCACCAACAATGTGTGTGCGGCAAGCCTTTGGAAGAGTGCTCCGTGGCCCGAAAAAGCTTGCAACCTAAGAAGACTCTTCGACATAGATGACGTCATACTGAGCTTTTGGTTTTCTTTTTCCGAAAAACCGAAGCAGCGAAAACTGTGAAAACGAATTGGTTTCAAATATTTTATTTAGTTTGATTACAAAAACAAAACAAAAATTGAATTTTAAACTTGGGGGCGGGTGCATACAGAAAATTTACAAATACAACTGTGTAGATTAATGACTCGAATTTTTTTGGTTTTAACACATTTTGATGTTCACATTGACGAATGCCAGATTGGTTGATTTTAATTAAAAGCCACTTTACATTTATCAATTAAATAAACGCAAAAAAAACTGCACTAGGTTCGAATCGAAACAAGAACAAAAAGTTGAATATGGATATGAAAGGAGAAGATTGACAGAAAACTAGAAAGAACAGCACACTAGGGGAACTAATTGAAACATTTTTAACCCATACAATTCAAATTATGGTTGACAACAGGAAAGAAAAAAAACGGGATCGTACGATATTCGCGAAGATACTAGAAGTGAGCCCAATCGTATTGAACATTGCGGTAGTCGATCTCATTGTAATTCACAACTTCTTCTGTGATTCCTTGCTGAAGCCACAATGATTTCAACTTTTGATAGAGCTCAGGATTCAGATGCAGAGGATTTCCACGTCGAAAGCCTTGATCCACCTCTCCAAACTCATCAACGTATGGTGCAGGACGGAAGCAACCTCGTTTTCTGGTAGTCATTAAAACAAGACTGCAGTCTCGAACGCTAAAAAACGTAATAAAGAATACAACTTCGAAAAAGGTCATCATACCGCAAGAACATTCCTACTGACCCGGAACATTGTGACATGTGATATCTGCACGCTCCGTAAGATTGCTTGTTTACCTGAATTAAGTTTATTTAAAATATTAAATCCATCAAAAACTTACGATTTTCTGACAACAATACGCTTGAGAGCATAATATTGTTCCACAAACTAGGCATAAAGTAGGAACATTCGATGTTGATTCTTCAATCGGAATAGTTGGACATTTGAATGATGCGACTCTATTGATAAGTTGACTATATCGGTCTGGCAAATCAACCAGTAGATTCGGTTTGACTGGTTGAACCACGAGTTCTCGAAGCAGATGATCATCTTTTGGAATAGCCAAAGACCACATCACAAACAATGACTCAACGAGACTTCCTTGAATATGCTCTTCAATCTTTGAAGGAAGACCAACATAGCGGAACAATGCTTCTGCGCTGTGAATGGATGGATCTTTCAATGCCTCTGGCGGATCAACAAGTGTGATGTAATGGTATAGAAGAGCTACGGGACGGAGAAGAGAATGCGCTCCTTCTTCTAACTTTTTCCACAAAACATCCACGCGTCTCAATGGCTGATCATCGGGGTGGCAAATCGAGTAGAGCTTCACCATTATCTCAATGATAGCCGGATCGAGATTGGAATGAATTTCACTACCATCATCCATATTAGCATCTTCCCCATCAGATTCATCATGCGTTGCAAAAATCTGAAAACGGAGAAAAATTAAAAATCCAAAAAGTTAATAAAAACCTGGAAATAGTGTGCCAGTAGTGCAAGACGGAGTACATATGCCTCATCGACAGATCCATCTGGGGTGAGCAAACGAGACTTTTGATGGGTCGTCGCTTTTGTTGATGTGTTGCTCATTGACTGAACACCGTTGTTCCATGTCCACCCAATAGTCATCATCAATGAAATCTGAGAAAATGTTGAGTGTACTAACTAAGTTGTTTTTTCAAATCTTACCGCTAAACTCAGAATATCTACTTGCAGAATATTCAGGTTGACATTTTTTCTGGGACCAGCCGGGTTGAAAAGCTGTACAAAAAATGCAAAGTTCGTTCCTGAATGCGGGGTTGATGATGGGTTCGCAGATGAAGATGACGTTCCAAACAAAGGTGATCCCAGCGTTTGAGTGACTTTGGCTGTTGGTGGATCGCACAATAAAACGCGGAGCATATCAGAAACAGCATGAAGAAGGAATTGCATATTATGCGAGAGTGATGCACAGAGCCGACTCATAGCAGACATACAATCTCTCTGGCGGGTGTTTAATGCTCCGAAAAGTGGCTTCTTGTCATAGTACAAATAGGAAGAAATGGCTCTGGCGACGTGCGCAGCACTCTGCCATGTCACTGTCGAAATCGCATATCCTTTCAGATGCTTCTCAATGAAATTTACTTTGCTCTCGTTCCCGCGACGACGATACTGTAACATATGAATAAAAAGAACCCTTGTATTAATAAGCCTACCTTGATCATATTCTTTCCGAGATCTTTAATTGGTTCTTCAAAACCGTCGAATGCAGTTGAACATATTTTACTCTTTGACATTGATGGGAATGGTCGAATGAGAGTGTGAATAGCGTGTTGAATTTGACTGCTCAACGGTTTTTTCACAGCTTCACTTGAAGTTGATTCACTGCTTCGTGGATTCGATTCCCCTGCAGGAGTAGGCGTTGCTGTCGGTGAATTGGTGTTGTTGGTTTCGGGATCCACAAAGAGAGCAGCCAACTCGTTGTAAAAATCAGCATCGTCAGCCGACGGAGGCGAATTCATGATAATTTTCGATTCTGTAGGCGTCTTGTTGGCAATTGAGTTGTGCTACTTGCATCAGTATGAGTCGCATTGTATGAATATTTAGGCGAACCATCCGATTCTTTGCTTGTTTGGGAAAGCTTCTCGAGATCAAGCAACGATCGCTCCGAGTGTGATCGCTTTCTGCTATGTCCTTTCTTGGTGACAGATTCCGAACTCAGAGGCATTTCCAAGCTCCGTTTGACTCTTGCGACCCAAACCTCGAAGTTCTCATTAGCAGCTCCAGAAACAGTCGAAAATCTGGAATGACACAATCACTATTCCGAAGTAATATAGGAGGTTCATACCCAATTTGATTTGTCAACTGATAAGCTGGCAGGATGGGTATGGCAGCATTCCAGAGTCTCTTACACAACGGACATTGAAATTCGCCACTCTCCGTATCCACCATTTTGTGAGGATGGGGAGCAACTTGGCGAGCTCTCGAACTATCGGGAGATGGATGTGATTCGGGCAAGCTGTGATAAAAAAGGAAGGTTAGAAGGGTAAGTGTGTGTGCGCAAATATTCATTTGTAGTGATTCGAACTCAACAAAATGTGCTAGAGGGTAGTGATCGGTGAGTGTAACTGAATTTTGTAAGGTGCTGCTGATGTGCATATTTACCTTTTGTAGCATTCATAATGCATGCTGTGTGAACATGTCGAAGCGTCCACACCGTATTGGAGAGTAGCTGGAGCCGTCAGGAGATCGCGAGTTGAAATGGCTCCACTAGATGCAGTCATAAGCTCTCCTTTCTGGTTTTTATGAGTGAACAGTTGAGATCTGTGATAGAGAAGTTAACAATCAGTTTTAGGCGTAATTACTTACTGTTGGATAAAAGCTGCACAAACCATCGGTTTTCCCAATTGTGGAGCAATAACTTCATCTTCTTGGCATAAAATACATGTCAATATCCTTGGTTTCTCAATTTCAGTTTGCCATTTATTGATACCAATGCAAACCGGGAAATCGTGGCCAATTTGTTTCACAATATCTTCGTCCTTGTTGTCACAATCTTCTGGTTTAATAGCTCCTTCTGTTTTTACATGAGTTTCATCCTTCGATTCATCCACTTCAATTTTTTTCATAAACTTTGACTGCATGCTTGACATTTTAGCCATCGCCTTCTGTCGCATTTCAGCAGCCTTCGCTTGTCGTTTGGCTTTCAACTCCTCTGCTGTAGACATTGGATGTGTTTCAACAATAACTGGTTCTGGTGGTCCACTGTTTCGTTTCAAAAGTTTTCGATATTTTTCAACAGTAACTTCGAGGAGAGCTGGACAAATAGATGCCTCCTGTTTGCCTAGAAGACCTTCCAGCATTCCTAACAGACCGACATTCTCTTCTGCCTTGTGAGTGAAACCAAAATCTGGATCTTTCTCCTCTTCGTTTAATGCAATTCCAATGAGATATAGAACTTTGTGAAAGACGCGATCGCTCGAGAACCGACTTCTTCGAGTGGTTCTGTCGATAACAAGCTTGAAGACGTGGATGAGCATGTTTGATTTGAGAATCAGAGGCAAATTTTCAAAAAATGGTAGATAATCGGGCAGAGGATTTGGGAAGCAGGATCGAGTCACTCTGAAACTATCAAATATTTAAATATTATTTTTAAACCATCTGGTTACCTGTCCATTTTAGCTCTAACTCTTGCTTGGCACTGTTCTGCAGCGGATTGATCACTTTTCGAATAATGCATGAAGAATGGGGAGTACATAGGAAGACATGACTCTTTGCAATGGAATTGTCCAGCGGAAGTAGATAAAGGTTTCCGGAAATCGGCTACTTGATTCACGGCTTCATGAAGGGAAACTCTTTTTGTGTTGTTATCGTGTGATACTTTTTGCTGGATCTGTAAAAAATTAATTTTTATAGTATGACGCGGATTTTACTGACATGACTGAATGTATGGGAGCCAGTGCAGAGAATGTGAACAACTTCGCGTTTCAATCCATCCAACGGATTCGTTTTCCCAACACCATAAGTGTATCGTTCAGAGAAAATCAGAATAAGACATTGGAAAAACTCTTCGGCGATCAAAACCATAGTTTTGCTCAAGTCTTCAGATTCTGGTTTCGTCTGTGCCGCTGCTGCTTTATCCTGTTCAAATTCGGTTGTTGCCCATTTGTCAAGTCGGAAACGATGAAGAAGATGGATGATGAATTTCAATGGAGGCGTCAATGCTGCTCCAACTTGCATCATCAAAACATCTCGATCAAACATTTCACTTCGGCAAAGAGGAGAGAAGTAGTTATGAATTTGATTGACCAACGAGAATCCATTCCTTCTCCACAGTGATGCGTTCGTCTGAGCACACAGCACAAGAACACGAAGAGCTAATTCGTAGAGATTAGTATCTTCATTCGATTGAAGAAGCGATCTGATTTTCTCTTGAAGCTCAGTGCCGGGCTTACTTGTCTTCAAAAACATTGCGTGATCCTTAGCAGTGAAAAGTCCAGCTATAATTCGAACGACTGGTTGGTGAATGGAGGTGGCAGATTTCAGAACATCAAAATGAGTGATTGTACTAGATTCTCCATTGATGGTGACAGTAAGCCCACTCGAGTCTTCACTCGTTTTCGTATAAACTGGTGGCATTTTATTCATCAGTTCTAGGCACATCAGTAGCAGCCTATTGTGAACTTCTTCCTGAAAATGATAAACTTTGAACGATAAATAAAACCGAACAAAATCACTCACATTGCTCTCAGCCCACGAAATAACGAGTGCGATTGCATCCTTCAATCGTAACAAAATATTGAAAGCAGTCTCCCATTCAGATTCCCATACTTGATGCTCCACTGCCTGTCGCTTGACTTCATCCATTCCTTGAAGATGTTGAAGGAATACCAGAAAATCTGTGAATCCTTTGACAAATCCCTCGATGAGCTCTCGAGTCCAATCAGCATCAGATGGAATCGCATTCAAAATATAAGCCAAATCTCTAGTGATTTGAAGTGCTCTTCTCAAATCGGCAGGGAACGATCTACTTGTAAAATCGAATCGTCCGATTTCGCTCATATTTGTTGATCCGCCTATAAAGTGTATGATGAACCATGTCTTTCTAAAAAAAACTTACGACTGATATATTTATTGGTTTGTAAACGAATCGCATTCGAAATCACACTTAGTGCTTCATCCTCGGCGACTAATTTTCGCGCAAGACTTGGAACAGTCATGAATTGTACTGACAGACCAACAACAGACACTTCCATCTCATGGTCATCTTTGACGAAATCTTCATAAATTTCATTGTAGTGTTGCATGAAAACTTTGGCAAATCGGACTTTCTGTTCGTAAATCATGAAGACTGTTCTCATGAGAAGTTGATGCAGGATGCACCTCCCAGCCTTCCACATTTGTGTATCTTGCAGGAGAATGTTCTCAAGAATAGTGAATGTGGTGGACTCTCGAGAAGGCCCTTGTTGCTCAATGCCGGCTGTCAGTGCACGAACGATTTCTTCATCGTCATCTGCATCAACTTCCATTTGCTCGTCCTCCACTTCTGCTATAATTTCTCCGGCATCTATTCCGTCATTTACAAGTTGAATCAACTCTGCTTCATCATCAGCATCCATCCCGTCTCGGACATTTTGAACTATTTGAGCTATCAATCCTTCTTCAGACTTTGATTGTTTTTTAACGTAGTCTTTCTTCAGCTCGAATTTTGAAGTCAACAGAATCTCTCCAACGATTTCACGCAGGGGAGCTGAAAACAGTTTCGCAATGAAAACCTGTTAACGGGTAAACATACGGAAAACTTCCATTTGTGCATTGAGCCATGTTAAAAGAGATATAGAGAAACTCTGGAGTGAGAATAGCATTGTATCCATGACTTTCACACTAAGTGGTAAGTGATGAGTTGATGCTCTCCGAATGCTTAACGAATCTCGTGACGTCTTTTTCTGCACATCCTCTTTGGCCTTAGTGCAGTCCACTTTATTACCTAATTTTACAGCACTTCTACCTTCTCGATCAACTATTGTCGCTACTAGCATCGCTTGATCTTTAGTGCAATGAATATATAGCTCAAGCACTTTGATAACCTAAAATTACAATTTTACTGGTTTTTTCACATCGAGTGGAAACTCACCGACTCGTACGTATGTGTTTCATCATTATAAAGAACAGTCAGAAACTGCTGAGAGTCAACTGGAACTTCGGGTTTGAACTCCTCAAACGCTTCGGGTAGTGTGAGATCATCTTTATGAGTGATCAACGATAAAGCAAAATGAAGAATGATTTCTACTAATTGCTCACAGCGGTTTCTCAACTCTGGAGCTAGTACTGCTGCTTCTTCCTCTTCCTTCTTCTCGTGATTAGCACATGCGTATCCTTCAAGCCAAGCATCTTTGTCTCCACAGTCGCAGTAACCAGATCCTGACGAGGAATGCATCTTAAACGTTGTTTGTTTCAATATCAACCATATATACAAAACACTCACTTTGTATTTGTGCGCTTTGTGAATCGAAACTTCGAAGCATTGTAGACACATTACACATGTTCCATCAGTAGCACAGTCGAGACATGTATACGTCAGCTCGCCATTTTTGAATACATGACCACAGATTTTCGCACCTTTTGCAGGATCGACACCAGCGAGTTCATTCATAGTTTCCAGACTACTTTTGGTATTGTGAACATCCAACAAGAAAGCGCTAACTAATGGTGAGAATAACAATTCGCCAGGGGCACCTGAAGTTTTGAACTCAACGGTATTAGTGCCTGATCTGAGAGAAACTCACCCAACAATCTTTCGTTAATTCCACTATTGTCCCAAGGCATATCTGCATTGATTTCGAAGACTTCAGGAACTTGTGCAAGCCAGTGCTTGAGCAGCAATTGATGAACTTGGCCCCATTCTTCTTGTCGAACGCAATTCACCAGGTCGACAATCATCCCATTCAATGCACTGAAAAATTGCAAATGTAATTGGCTCGTGTTTAAAAAAGAACTTATATTTTGAAGACTATTCGAAATAGAAAAAAACTGCATAACGGAGTGCTGGCAAGAAAATAGTAAGCATGAGAACAGCAAGAAAACGATTGCGGGCGATGAAATGATAACAGTGAACACTAAGAGAGACAGTGATGAAATAAAAGCTGGCGATGAGAGGGTGAGAGATAAACAATATCTAGAGTTCTCTTTTTCTCGGAGTGTTTCCTCGGAGAAAGAACACTGCCCTTAGACCACAGTCTTTTGAAAAAACAACTGAATATTTCAAATTTGTTTCAAAATAAGTTAATTATGTCATTCTCATTTATGATATGTTCATTAAAAAACACACAAAACTGCGAAAATTATTCAAAACTTTTCCAGGAAATAATTTTCAGTAAAAAAAACTTTCACCGTAACAACGAGCGCTGAGGGACAAAACTGGTCGAAAACGTATGCGCCTTTAAACTGATACTGTATACCATTGTGAGCGTCCAAAAATGATTTTTCTCTCCTAATTAAAATTCTAACTATTTATGAGCTGAAACTGTCAAAACTATCTTTTAAATCCAGTTTTCCTATCTCCGTGTCTTTCAGAAAAATCGTCTATAATACTATATTTTTCCTTTGTTGTTTATTTCCCTTATCGATTGAATTTAAATCTGAAATTCATAAAAAAACAATAACTATAAAAAGCGTCTATGAAGAGAGCAGAATATATACTTAGCTATTTAATAATATGTTGAAATATATGTCCAGAATTATCTGCGTAACGCAAAGTTATCTTCGATTTTCTTTTTCACGATGACGAGCGCCTCGTGCTCGCTGCGGCCGCTGGCTGAATGTATTGTTTTCTAGGCCAACATTTTCGCGCGACCACCGAATCGTTTTTCGAAATGCATTGACATAAATTCTTGTCTTGGTTCTACTCTATTCTCTCCGAATGCAATGTAAAGCTTCGACAACTTTTGTGGTTACCGTTTTTACTGATTCCTTCAAGAAGCAGTGAGAAGCAAGAAGCAGTCGTCAGGAAATTTTTCAGATCTACGTTCTTTAAATATTTTTCAGATCTACGTTTTTTTTAAATTTTCTCTTTCAGATCTACGTTTATAAGTTTTCTCCTTCGTCTCGGAGGAGGCCCACTGGGGTTCAAGCGAGGGGGTCAGAAAGCACGCCCCAGCAAACTCGAAGGCCAGAAGAAATTTAATAATTTTAAATTGGACGAGGGTTTGATCTAGATCATGATCTATTTCTTCAAAATCAACTGGTTGCAAGGCGCGCTTTTTCACTCTTCATTTAAAACTGTGAAACTCAGCCAACGAAATTCGGCAGCGAATTTAGAATTTTTCCTAAATTTACTGGGGCGCTCTTTCTGACCCCCTCGCTTGAACCCAAGTGAGGAGGTATTCCTTCTCCTACATGTTTGACTACCTTTTACGCTCTCTTATTGTTTCGTTTTCAGGATGTTTGGAAACTCGGCTCCTAAACCATCAATTTTCGGAGGTGCTGCGACAACTACTCCTTCCACAGGATTTTCTTTCGGAAACTCTAGCACAGTTTCAACTGCAGGTGAGAAATTAGAAATGCACGATTCTCGCAATGCGCTTCTTTAGGAACCAATATATTTGGCACTTCAACAACTTCATCCGCTGGCAGTGGAATGTTCGGTTCAAATTCACAGACGGGAACTGGCTCATTTGGAGCCCAAGCTGGTTTGTCGGGATTTTTCAGAGTTCCATATTTTTCACATTCTTTCGTTTCAGCGCAACCAGCTGGGTCAGTTTTTGGTGGATCAGCAGCTCCTGCTCCTACAGGATTGTTCGGAAGCAGTAATTCTGCTGCCTCTACAACCAGCGGTTCGTCCGGAATGTTCGGTTCGAGTACCCCATCTCCTAACCTGTTTGGTGCTAATGCCGCTGCCAATTCTGCTGCCCCCACCAGTGGTGGTGGGCTCTTCGGCTCTTCGACAAGCAAATCGACCGGTCCAACATCTAATTTGTTCTGCAACTCTACAGGGACTACCGCAGCTTCGGCAGCTCCTAGTACCGGACTTTTTGGATCATCGTCGGCTGCTGCTCCATTATCGGGAATCTTCGGTAACACAAATGCAACCGGAGCACCAGCATCTACTAACATGTTCGGTGCACCTACCAATACCGCTCCTACCACATCTAGCACTGGACTTTTCGGAGCCCCAGCTACTGCTCAAACCACAACAGGAGGACTTTTCGGAGCCCCAGCTACTACTCAAACCTTAACAGGAGGACTTTTTGGAACAACGCCATCATCAGCGGCTACAGCTCCAACTACTAATATTTTCAGTGGGACGGCTGGGACGGCTCCAGTTTCAACTCTCGGTCTTTTTGGAACGGCAACTGCCTCGAAGACAGCTACGGCCGCTCCAACAACTGGAGGACTCTTTGGAAATTCTGCAGCAGGAACTCCGTTGTTCGGTTCAGCTTTGGCAGGTACTACGGCAGCTCCAGCAGGTGTTTTGATTTCCACACCGACATCCGCCACAACAGCTACTCCCGCCAGTGGAGGATTGCTCGGCACTCCTGCGACTTCTGCATCTATTGGTCTTTTCGGCACTTCTGCTACTACTCTAGCTGCTCCTACTACAACACAGAATACAGCTCCGACAACAACTGCGAGTACTGGTTTGTTCGGTGTGACGTCAGTAGCTAGTACTGCGCCTTCAAGTGGCGGACTGTTTGGAACCGGCGCGGTAGCATCAGCACCAACTGCTAACTTGTTTGGAACTCCTGCAGCTACAACTACCCCATCTGCTACTGCACCAGCTCCAACTGCTAAGCTGTTCGGAACTTCTGGAACCACAACTGCCTCAGCTGCTGCACCAGCTTTATCTGGAGGTCTTCTTGGTAGCGCAGCTCCAGTAACAGCACCGGCAACTACAGCATCAGTCGGTAGTCTTTTCGGGAAAACAGTTGCAGCCGGCACATCTGCCACTCCCGCTGCTGGTCTCTTCGGTTCTAGACCAACAAGTGCAGCAACTAGTTCTACACCTGCAACGTCTGGAGGGTTGTTTGGTACTGCTCCAGCTGCTGCTCCTTCTACAGGCCTAGAATCGACTGTAACGCAAACTCCCACAACAATTACTGCTACCGCTAGTACAACTCCAGCTACTACATCTACTGCTCCAGTGGCCAGTACACCAAAACCAGTGGAAACCACTTCAGCTCTTGGACTTGGATTAACTTCAACACCACTTGCTAAAGGATCTGGGTAAGCTTGATTGTTCTCGTTTTTCCAAAGTTTAGAGAGCACAATTTTTACTTATTTCTATAGAAATTTTTTATTCCGATTGCAGATGGGCAACTGGAGGTCTTGGCGGACTGAAAGGAGCTGCGGCCACGAATACAAGTCTGAAAATCGGAGCCAGTGGAAGTGAAACTCTGTCGGAAGAGGAAATCAAAGCCGGACTTGCCGGAGCTGATAGTAAAGCGTTTTTCACTGCTCTTCAAGAAGTTGTCAACAGCTATCATTCTGAAATCGCGAAACAGGAACGTGTTTTCAACAATAAAATTCTGGAACTGAACGCATATGACCGGGAGCTTATCGCTCTGGAGCCAAAGGTGTTGGGCCTTTACAATGAAATGGATGAGTTGAGTGGAAATTGCAAAAAACTCAATTTCAATATTGGTTCAATGACGTCGGTTTTGAATGATATTGAAGAGACAGTTGCTGAGCTCGAAAAGAAGTTGAACCTTCCTGATTGGACCAATCTTGATTATAAATTCCCATTGGATAGTCGATTCGCTAGTCGTCATGATGTGCAGAGAGTTCAAATGTAAGTTTTGTTATATTTTAGGTGCAATGTAGTGTCTTTCAGTGCTCAAATGATGTTGAACGTGGATTCTCAAATGAAATCAGCTGATTTCGATCTCGATCAGATCACTCAGACTCTTAACAACATGCAGGCTACAGTATTGAAAACGAAAACTGAAACGCCACTGGAAAAAACTGAGTTGATAATGAAGAAGCAATTGCAGAAATTGATCGATCTCTCTGGGCAACATGGTAAGATTCTGAGGGAGACCGTTAGAATCATAAATCTTACTTCCTTCTTTTTTTCAGATGTTACTCGCGAAAAGTTGGTAAAACTAAAGGATGATCACAGCCTGCGATTGAAAGACTCGAAAGCATAGGAAGCTAAATTCTTCCATCTGTCTTTTTTTTTATTCGCTCATTATTCTCATTTCTCTCATTTCCGTAAGTCGTTGACACACCGTTGTTCCCTCTCCTTTCTCTTTTTGTTATTTTACTACTACCATTTTCATCAATATTTTTCTTTCTTTTTGTCTTATTATGACAGTCTGGAAAGATAAGATTGGAGAAGAAAAGCGCCGGTGGCTGTCACCCAAGTCCGGGAACGAAAACTTCTGTAGCCTAAGGCAGTTTTTGTTCGAATCCTGCTTCCATAAACCCGATGTTTTTTCTCCACCAATCTTTACTTTTCAGACTGTTATAATAATTTTTTGAGAGATTTGTGAATGAAGATCTTGAAGTTTGAATTGTTTGTAATCTGGATATATTTTTGCTTGAGTCTTGAATCTGTCGGTTACTTTTGTTAGAATTTCGTCGCCAGCTAAATAAGGGAATTGTTCTTTTTTTCAAATTTTGAATTTATGATTCTCAAACTACTACTTCTTTCAACAAAGATTTATCCCAGTAAGATGTTGTGAACCATCGTGCAAAATCTCGTCTGAATATCTTTTCCAACAAAACGGAAAAGTGAGACGAAATGTGTTTTCTTCTCTGTTTTTTGTTTCCTTTTCTCCGACTTTCCGGGCAAATACTCATTAGCTTGATGATCTTTTGCTAAATGCTCACTTGCTAAATATACTCATAAGCTAAACTCGCTCATTTGCTAAAATAGTCTCACTTGCTAAATGTTGATCATTTGCTAAATAGAGGACTTGTTCAAATTGCAGGCTTAGGCTGAAACTCCTTACTGGAAAACAGGCGTTTTAGCCTAAGCCTTGAATACAAAACAAAAACAGGAATATTCTGAAAAAAAGTTTAGTAAAAAAGTACTGAAATTCCCAAATAACAGTAAAATATCCACTTTTTCATTTTTAGCAAATGATCAAAATTTAGCAAATAAAATTTAGCAAGTGAGACTATTTTAGCAAATGAGCGAGTTTAGCTTATGAACATATTTAGCAAGTGAGCATTTAGCACAAGATCATCAAGCTAATGAGTATTTGCCGACTTTCCGTAATTAGCGGATGAGCATAGCGTTGCCGATCGCATGCATCGTCCCTTTCTTCCATGTGCTCTCCCGTCACACGCGTTTCAGCTCTCTATCTCTTCTTGTGTTTATTTTTCCTGACGTCGTCTTTTTCTGCGTCTCGCCCACGATCGAGCTAACACTCTGCACGTGAATTCGTCGTCTTTTCTGCTCTTGCCACCGTTGTTATTCTCGCGACTGAACCGCCAAATCCGAACCACCACTTTACGGGTTTCTATGAATGCACTTCTACCGAACAACTTTACTAACAAGCTGAACCCCTTTCCACACTGATTAATGCAATCTATTACAGCAATAAAGTTAAGATAGTTGAGCTTCATTATGATATTATGCTTGTCTGAGAAAAAAAAGGTTGGAGAGTATTTTTTGCAGTCTGAATACGGTAGCTATATCGAAGCGGAGAGCCTAAACAGCACACAAACGGTGGAGACGCAGACACTTTTTCTCTGCGTCTCAACCTTTTTTTTCTCAGACAAGCATAATATCATTCAAAATTTATTTATCTGTGTGATGTCAACTTCTAGAAGTTTACATCTGTGCGTTTTTTCTATTCAAGAAATGTGTTCGAATTAGTAATGCGGATTACCAGAATCCATAACAAAGTTTTTCAAACTAAGCTAAAAATTTCTGTTCAAATTTCGTTTCGCTTGTAGCCAAATGTTAAGCGTTTTCCTCGTTTGGCTCGCATGACTTTTCTTTCCGTCTGAGCTTTCCTAGTCTTATAGTGTGTTTGGTTCCTGAAGCCTCGACCCAATTAAACAGCGTAGGGAGAGAGCGAGAGGTCTTCGAGTATCCGCCTCTCCTTTTCCTCTGGCACACAAGCTTTCGCCCATTGCCTATTCTGGCAACGCCAGTGCTGCCCATGAAAGAAGAAAAAAATATGAGGAAGCGAGTCCGCCCGTCTAAAATAGATTCCCATACAACCATGCTCCGAAGCCATCTCTTGCTTTTTTAGTCACTGCTGAGAAAGTTATATGAAGAAAATTTCTAGGTTAGGTTTCCTCACAATTAGAACTATTGAATATTTTATGATTAGAATCTGTACCGAAACTTCATATCAAAGCTGTACGCTTTTTCAGTCCTCGATTTTCTTTCTTGGCTCCGCCAAATTTAGTTTTCAGTCTACATCTATGTGTTGTGCGCAGAGGTCGGATCCAATAGAACCACGTCATCCGGCATGGAATATTCACACATCGCTTCCCTCTCTTTCTTTCTTGTGATAGACACGCAGAGACACTCTGCTTCGTCTCGCTTCTCGCTCACGACCGCACTCACGAGTCACTCACCACGCGCTCACTCTCTTCGATTTTTCTAGTTGCCTATGGCAAGAGGAAGAAGGAAAGAAAGGAGGAGGCATAGAAAGTTTGTTCATTGAACATGTATATCGGACCTTATAAGCAAGCATCATTTTTCAAAGTCTCTCTTAATCGGCCCTGTCATCACACTATTACAATTCTATGTTACGTATCCCTCTAAACTCTTAATTGGTCCTCTGAAAACATACGATGGCCGTTCAGTAGCTGGCCGAAGTTCCCAGTTGTCTTCGTCATATGACCTCGTAACGTTTCGTAATGTATACATTTTCCTAAGTCACAAGGAAACAATTGATTGCTCTATATTTCCAGTCGCATTTGTTGACTATTTTCTCAAATTTTATATTTTCGAATTCACAGTTTAATCGTCGGCATGGTTTTCCTTTTTATCTCTTACATGTATCTTTGATTTCTAGCTTTCACTATATCATTGTTCTTTGATTCATCTTAATTCGTTCCAGAAGAATGTCGTACGCTTATCTTTTCAAGTACATCATTATTGGGGATACTGGAGTTGGAAAATCGTGTTTGCTGCTTCAGTTCACCGACAAACGCTTCCAACCAGTCCACGATTTGACAATTGGTAAGCTCATTTTTACAGCTGACGGAATTTTTGCTTTTTTTTCTAAATTCCTTTTCATTCAAATTTATTCAGGTGTCGAATTCGGAGCTCGGATGGTTACAATTGATGGAAAGCAAATCAAGCTTCAAATTTGGGATACCGCTGGTCAAGAGTCATTCCGCTCTATCACTCGCTCCTACTACCGTGGAGCTGCTGGAGCTCTTCTTGTCTACGACATCACGAGACGCGATACATTCAATCATCTCACATCGTGGCTTGAAGATGCTAGACAACACAGCAATTCAAACATGGTCATCATGTTGATCGGAAACAAGAGGTAAATAACTATAGATAAAAAACAGTTAGATGAGGTGAAAACTGTTTTTAGTGACTTGGAAGCTCGTCGCGAGGTGAAACGTGAGGAAGGGGAGGCCTTCGCTCGTGAGCATGGGCTTGTATTCATGGAGACTTCGGCGAAGACAGCCAACAACGTGGAAGAGGCATTCATCGACACCGCCAAGGAAATTTACAGAAAGATTCAAGAGGGAGTGTTCGATATCAACAACGAAGCAAATGGAATCAAGCTGGGACCGCAACATTCTCCAAGCTCGCCGAACTCTCCAGGAGGAAATGCTTCCGGTGGATTGGGTGGATCATCAGGATGCTGTTAGATCTCGTTGCATGCACTCTTTATATTTCTCACATATTACCTGTCAAATCAAAATTCGGTTGATGTTCAGAGGTCGCTCTTCTTACGTCATCAATATAATCAAAAACCCTGCTCCTTGTCCAACTGTCGATAGGCAATCTTCTAGTCTCCTGATCCTTCGATAATTTTCAACACCACCCAAAAAAAGTATATCGCCTCCTAACTCTTACTCTTACTGTACATTTTCCGTCCCACTTTCGCTTGCTTTTCTGTCTTCTTTTCTTCCTAATTTCTCTCAAAAATTGCATAGAAAGAGAGAACAATCTGAAATTTCTGTGATTTTCCATCTCTACCATCAGATCCGAATGTTGTGAAAGTCCGAATCTTCTACATGTTTCTCTTTTCAAAAAATATTTTTCCTTTTTTTTTCATTTCTTTTTCCATTTTCTTATTAATCAACCCTATCCCTTTCGAGCTGAATAAATATGTTCTATGATCCCGTCTAATCGGAAATAAGCATTATGAAAGTCACAATCTTTTGATTATTTCGGTGGAGAGTTGTTTCTGGTTTCGAGAGGTGAACTGATTGATAAGAAATCAAGAAAACATCACGCGATCTAAATAGAAATCTAATCATAGGAATGGAAAGGTTTACAATTTTGTTCTCTTCCGATTAGTCTAAAAAAGTTGTTCGGTAAAAAAGTTAGAATTAAAATGTTTTGTTCGATTGCTGAGTAGCAGAAAAAATAGGAAAATTTGCACATTATTTACTACCAACAAGCTGGTGCGCCTGCGGCGCAACTTCTAGTTTCTTTATTGCTTCGTCGCTTCGCTTCTCACGTTTTCTTGAAAGGTCACGTAATCTATACTCATTTTTCAACCTTTTCAAAAGTCCACAGCGTGACACCAGGACGGATAGACATCTCTAGCGTTTATATATAACTTAAGAACGATTTAGCTATCTTGTTATTACGCTGGTATGCGGGAAAAAAATTAGATTTAGAAAACAATCATTTTTCGACTTGTTTGGTGGTGCTCAACAGAGATGTCCGGATTCCGCCCTATTTTTCATTCCGGATTCCGGATAATTTTTATTTGTCCGGATTCCGGATTCCAAGGAAATGTCTTATTCAAATTTGTTAATTTGCAAGGATTCTCTGACTTTTTTGAACTTCCGCGACTAAAAAAGCAAAAATATAGCACGATGTGTTTTTAGAACTTTTCTGCCCATTTGGAGAACTCAGAATTCCGGATTCCGTTCTTTCTTTTCGTTCCGGATTCCGTATTCCGGATTCCGGAAAATTAGTTTTTTTCCGGATTCCGTGAAAATTATTTTATTCCTGATTCCGGATTCCGTTTATCAAAAAATTAATTCCGGACATCTCTGGTGCTCAACACAAAACTTTATTTAATTTTAGGTTACGGTGGTTTTCGTTACGGGAACCGTTGGCCACGCCCACAAGTGACTCTTCCACAGATCCGATTTTTGTACAGAAGTTTAATAAAACTAGAGCGCGATCTTACAACTTTTGAGGTCTCTTGTTCTATATCAAACTGTAAATTTCAGTAATTTCAAAAATCATGGGCCCCCATCGTCTTCTCTACCAAGCTCTATGCAAAGCCGGTGATAAATTGGTTTATCCCATACTGCCAGCATTCGCAAAACCAGCTTGGAATCATGCTGCTGGTCCAAAAACTGTGTTCTTCTGGGCTCCAACGATCAAGTGGGCGCTAGTCGGCGCGGGGCTAGCCGATTTGGCCCGACCAGCTGATAAGTTGTCAGTCTATCAGGTTTGTTGTTTTGAAAAATGTTGTTCCTTCGTTAAAAATTAGTGATGTAAAACGAATGTTTTGGTCTTTCAGAACTCTGCACTATTCGCAACAGGAGCCATCTGGACTCGTTACTGTCTTGTGATTACACCAGTCAATTATTATCTCAGCAGTGTGAACTTTTTCGTGATGTGCACTGGACTGGCCCAACTTTGCAGAGTTGCTCATTACAGGTGATAATTAGTCTACAGATTGCAATCGAATCAGTTTCCTTTCATTTCAGATACCAAAATCCTGATTGGGAGACAAAAGAGATTATGGAGACCCATTAAACATCACGAATACTTTTAGGAAGACAAACGAGTTTTCAGAATACCGGCTTGCATAAATTCAGTTCTAAATGTGAATAAATGTTTATCACCAATTTTTCTACTGTAAATTTTCACCTTATAAGGCCTCGTTTGATAGCTTCTTTCTAATATTTTAACTAATGTTCAGCTGTTGCGCCTTCTAGAACCAATGCTTCCAGGGAATGTCTGAATGCGGGGTAGAATGCATTGTCTCAATAATCGTCGTCGGGTTCCTGTGGGGAGCCACTAACCCTCTTCTTAGATATGCGTCTAGAACACAAGATAGCCAAATGGTTCCAGAGGAAAATGAAGGCTTTGCAAAGATTGTGGGCAGGTTCTTACGGTCGTTTCTCAATTGGAAATTTTCAATCCCATTTGCAGTTAATCAATTAGGATCGGTATCATACATGCTTGAGAGACATAAATAAATTTAACAAATATTTTCAGATAATGTTCAATCTATTAGTTATCAATTTTCCAGTCACTGTCGTAGTTCCTTGTGTCAATGCTATTCAATTCATCGCCACCTTCATTGTAGGGATATCTATGGGTGAACAAATGCAGCAATCCACAGTGAAGCAAAGGACTGGAATGGTTTTAGCAATGATTGCAATACTCGGAATGCTTGTAATTGAGTAGTTGCATGTTATTTTCACATTTTAGGTCAAAATATGTGAAAATGTATGTATTTATGTTCAAGTCGAAGTAAACAGTTTTAACGACAAATACATCGATCAGGAGTGAAACGGGGTTACATACTTGCAACGGGCCGGGCCGGACCAGGCTTTTTCAGAATTTTCAGGACCCGGCCCGTCTCGGCCCGAATTTTCGGAAAAAAATTTTGCTGCCTTTAAAATTATTTTTGGGGTCAACAGAAAAAAATGGAGAATTTTTCTGACAATAAAAAACATTTTCGAGATAAGATTGTCCATAAAAAATAGTTCTTTCACAAAAAGATTTTTGAAATTTCAAAATTTTTTTCAAATTTGGAGAAGCCAGGCCCGCCGGGCCGGGCCGGGCCCTGAAAATCCTCGACCTGGCCCGGGTCCTGAAAAGCTTAGGACCGGCCCGCGGGCCGGGCCCTAATTTTGCAAGTATGGTTAAAAATCATAATTCGGGGGCAGGGATGTTCAGAACGGAATTCAATTAGAGATTTGGAAATACGGTATCTCAAAGGCGCACGCGAAAAGTTTCCTTGCGGGTGTCGAGCGGAATTACTTTCAGGGTTTTCTTTTGCGTTTTGCTGTTTGTCTTTTTTCACCAATTTTTCGAGTTTTTGTTATCTGAAAATTCCGAAGTTTTGAAAATCGGAGTTTTCGACTTTCCGAAACTTTCTTTTTCGTGCTGCTGAATTTGGAGAACTCCCCGAACCATAGATTTTGTACCCCTGATCATTTTCAGTCGTTAGATACTTATTTGAATTTTAACATCGATTTTATTTAACGTACTTTTTCACAACTTTTGAGCTAAATTTGATTTAACAACCAAGTTCAAAGAATTTAATTGTTTTTCTCACTTCCATTGGTTTTGCTAATAAAGTGAATTGAAATCTTGTATTCATACTTGAAAAATCAGGGCCTAGGCTTAGACACGGGCCTGGCAGGCCCGAAGTTTCTAGAAATATTTTAGTACATCCGACAATACACCAAAGACACATTTATTTAACGCGCCAGGCCAAAGTTTTTTCAATTAAATTGATCAACTGACTGTTGATGACATCACATCAACGAGACACTGTGAGATCAGAAGACAAAAAGACACTGTCCCAGCCTAGCGTGTTTGCATTTCTCGTCTTCGTTTCAAAATTTCCCAAAATTCTTATCGCGGCGCGGTTCACATTCGTTTCTCCATTGTTTCTTTTAATCACTTTGATAGATACGTCCTCTTTGTCAGTTTAAATGACTGAAAAGTGCTCTTTCTGCCATACTCATAATCGATATTCCTATATTGTAATCACTCAGCTCCGCCATGTGAACGGATTCTTTTCCAAAGGGTGACTCAAACTATTTCGAAACCGCGAGGGATCACGTGAACATTTCCTTTCACGATATTCAGAAGAAAACACGCGAAGATATGTCAGAGAAATCAGACAGCAGAGCTCTACTTGTCTGCTCCCCGCCTTCTTTCTATCTGGCTCTGGCGCGTGGCTCTGGGTGTCTTTATTCCATATGCTATTTCGGTCTCTACATTCTTCTCTTTCGCTATTACCACCGCCCGCTCATTTTTTTCTTGTCGTTTTCCAATCAGACAGCCACTGCTTCATTATCATCGTTTCTTTTTCTCGAAAAAAACTCCATTCCATAGTCATTGTTCTTGATGAAATTCTCGATTTTTAGTCGACATAGAACTATTTTTTTCCAATTAAGTAAGCATGTTTCGCAATGACACTCTGCTAAATAACTCTTCTATTAGTTGTTTCCTGATTCCCACATGCTAAGCAAGAATGCATCGAACGCAAAGGGAATCTGAAGCAGATTGTACAAATAAAACTTAATAGGTTAGCCCCGAAACTTTTCATAATTTATTGAATTACTGGAGCTCTATTTAGATCATACCGTTTTTTCTTGTTTTGCTATTTTGTGAACATGAGCTTGCTTTTCCCTTAATCAGAACGCCCCATGAAGAAAACAACGGGATGTGACATCACCATAGTCTCTTTTCAGGAAGCTGCTCTCTTTTCTCTTCTATGTTTTTTTTTTCTGTCTCCCCCTCGCCCTTTTTTCGTTCTCGTAGATTCCAAACTTTGACACGATGCCTCTTGATTCTCAATTCCTTATCACTTCTGTATTTCTATCTAGCTATCTGTATTCAATTTTCCTAATATAGGTTCTTTTGCTCTGCTTGGAGTTGGGTGTTCTACAAAAATGAGCAGATTTAACGTGCAACGAGATACTTAGATTTTCGAGACCCTCAAATTTGATATTTTTCACCTGAAAAGGGGAAACTATCGTCTATAATTATGGATTAATATCGTCTTGCATTCTTTTCGTTAGCCGTATTATCATGCTTACATATTCATTGATACATTTTTACAGATTGAATCTGTGCTTATCAATTGCACGGATTTGACCTCCAATCCTTGTGTGTAAACACTCATTCAATACTTCCTGTTCCGTGCACTCCAAGGGAGAGAGTGTGCATGGAAGCTTGTATTAACTGTCCCCAATTCGTCCAAGATTCCCTCCGCCGAGGAATCTAACGAGTCTTCTATACCACCTTTAAGTGGAACAGTAAGTTTTTTTTTTCTCTTTAAATCGATGTCCGCAAACGTTTGATCCTTTTCAGGCAGTCGATCAGCTAGCGAAGATCTACGCGGAGCCACAGCTTCGTGCCAGTCAAATCCAACTAGACAAGAACGCAGAACCACCTTGGGATCCGGATCCGAAAGCCTGAGGTGAGGTATAGCGATTTTTCTAATGTTTTTGTTATTGATCACCGGTTTCAGAAATTCCCCACGACTTCTATCGATTCACTGCCTACTGATCGACTCTCTACATTTACCCCCTTCCCATTATTACTGTAGCTGACAGACGTCTCACCCTCCATCTAAGTCTTCACTACAACTGTCTTCTTTCTTCCCAGGAACGAGCATCGAGTTGGTACAAATTCCGCCTCGCTGCTGTTCATCTGGTTTCTTGTCCCTCAAAATTTCAACAGTGTCTTGCACGTCGTCTCCTGCCCGCATCTGTCCTCCCGACGTCGTTTGTTGGATCTCTCGTGAAGAGCTAGCATCACGAATTTCTAACAACCGACACATCCCACCATATTTTCCAGAAGTTCAAACTATTTTCCATTAAAGTAAAAAAATCCAAATGTAAGTTCAATTACTGATTTTCAATATATAAAACATAACATTACAGAACTAATGGTCAGACGTCGACTTCCTTCCTCCACCTACTATACTCCCGCTGGCGAGTCAGAATGGTCGCGGGAAACCTTCGGGGAGCAGTCTGTTGCTGTTCTCTCGGGTGGCTACCGTAATCCCATCGAAATGGCTCGACACGTTGCTGCTCGGTGTGGCTCTCACCAGCCATTCTTTGTCATGGACGTCGCCGCCATCGAAAGACGTCTTGAAGTGCTTCGTTCGACGCTTCCGCTTATTCGCCCAAACTATTCGATCGCTTGCAATGCGGATCCGGTTCTTGCACGAGTTCTTTCGAACAACCTCGATGTCAACTTTGAAGTTGCCACCTCGGGAGAGTTAGAGCTGACATGTTTACATTCGGAACCATCCAGAATCATTTTCTGCTCACAACTGTTGACTCGCAAAGGCATTAAGAACGCTGTACAAGCAGGATGTGGAACATTTGTTGTGGAGAATGAGAAACAAATGAACGACGTTATGAACGCATCTGCTGATGCTCAAATGTTTCTTGCTGTATGCCTTCCATATTCATCAGGAGAAGTACCTTTCGGATGTTCCATTGATGAGCTGGTGGAGATTCTCGACATGGCACATCTTCTCGGCGCGAATCTTACTGGAATCTAGTGAGTGGCGAATATGCAAGTTTCATTTCTTATTAGATTCATTTTCAGCTTGGAGCTTGGCGTTCGTGCTACACTTGATGATTACATCACTGCTATCCACGATGCTCGTTCAATCATCGATACTGCATCAACGAAGTTTCTGGACCTCCGTCATATTTCTCTTGGTAATCTTGTTATCCCAACTGGAACGGACGGATCGGTGAACAACAATTCCATTTCATTCTGCGAGACAATCAATCGGGCTGTTTCCGAACTTTTCGACGATCATATTGACTTTTCTGCAAACATTGGTCGTTTTCTAGTGACGAATGCATTCACTTTGTGTACAAACGTCATTGGAAAACGAGCATTGAATGCAAAATACATTACCAACGACGATTTCGATGATGGTGTTGGCTATCTCTATCAAACCAATGATGGTATTTATGGATCATTTGGATGCAAGCTTATGGACATTAATCCACAGTGCAAACCATTAAATGGAGAGGAAACATTTGATGGAAGCAACCAACTTTATCTCGGAGCAGTTCTGGGACCAATTCTGGATGGCTGTGACGTGGCTCAACGACTCACTAGATGCCGTCAGTTGCGTGTCGGAGAATGGCTTGTCTGGGAAAAGATGGGTGCATTTACAATTCCTGTTGATGGTGAACACCATGTTCCTCCTGTTTATTATTATTCTGGAAAAGAGTGTTGGTAAGTTGAATTTCCGCTATTTTCGTTCATTTCAACCAAACTACGTTTCAGGCAAAAATTGATCCACAAAGATGAGCAACGTCGATCTCCGTCGCCAAGTGTCAACGATGATATCGGAAGTGATGGTGAAGGCGGCTATGCGTCTTCGTGTGAGGACCAGGACGCGGAGATGATGTTAGAGCCGCTAGTAGAAGACCTGAATGAATTTTAAGTTTCTAATCCAATTCCAAAATGAAACTTTTTTCTATTTGTCAGTTTATTGTCTTTTCTGTTTTGAAATTATTTCTCCAATTATCCTGTGTTAACCCGATATACCTATTATCCGTTTATGAATTCATGCACTTTCCAGGCTCTCCGAAAGATTAGTCCTTGAAGAGCTAAAACGTGTTATCGGTCCGAGTGTTTCTCCGAATCAGTACGGATTCGTCAGTAAGCGATCCTGTGTTCTAGCTGTCCTTGAGTCCACTTCCAGAATACAGAAAACCTTACAAGGGAACCACAACCAACTTACAAGGAAACAACCTCGTCAGTTTGGATTTTGATGAAATTTTCAGTATATGTCGAGGATATCCTATCTAGACATCCCTGAAAATTTTAGAACACGCTCGTCAATTTCAGCCGAGTTATATCAGTTTCAGTACCAAAAATCGCGTTTTCAGTGCAAAAATAGCGATTTTCAAAGGCGATTTTCTGCGCTCCCAGGAGGTTCCAGAACATGAAATTTGTTTTGTTATACTTAGAATTATGTGTAATATTATATTTCAGACATTTTCTGAAAAAAAATTTTTCGAAAAAATTTGAGATTTTTTTCCACCATTTGGATGGGTGATTTTATCGAGCTTTTGTCAATTTGGAAAATTTCCTTGAAAAAGTTGTGATAATTGTTTGCAAATATTATTTTACAACTGATAGGTAATCTATTTTTTGATTGCACGCTTTTCATTATTCATTCATGGTCCGTATATGTCCAAAAACAGAGCTTCAAAACCACCAGATTCCAGTGATTGAATAATTCAAAATTTTTTTAAATTTTGTCTCTACTCTTTTGAATTGATAAAATTCTGAAACATATGTCAGAGGGATCCTGAAATGTCGCAAAATAAGAAAACAAAAAGGAAGAAAAAAGAAAAAAACACTAGAGGGTCCGAACCCACGGCCTCGTGACTACTGGCGCCCACCACATCCACGACACCACGCCGTCGACATTTCTATATTGGTTCGAAAGGCGGTTAAATGTCAGGCTGTCTTCTAACTCCTTTCAAAGTGGTTTTGGGGATAAAATGTGTGGTAAGCATGCAAATCAACGGATTCCAGTACTAAAACTTTGGACTGATATGTGTTGTCGTTCCCTTGTTAGCAAATAAGCAACAATTCGTAGATGTTATTTACTTTGATTTTCGCAAGGCATTCGACACTGTCCCACACAATCTCTTGCTGCTGAAAATGAGGCGAATAGGTATTGACGAACGATGCTACGATTGGTTCGTGTCCTTTCTCAGCAACCGCTCATCCACCGTCAAGGTTAATGGCCTAATGTCAACCAGCGAGATTGTTGTCAAATCCGGAGTCCCCCAAGGAAGTGTCACTGGCCCCTTTTTGTTTCTGATCTACATTAACGACTTACTCGGCCTGTTTCCTCCCAATGTTCATGTCACGGCGTTCGCCGACGACCTGAAAATAACCGGTTCTGACCAATTGGATATGCAGAGAAGTATCGAAATAGTTGAGCACTGGTGTGACATCTGGAGACTCAAACTGCATTATGGTAAACCAAACATGTGGATGGCCGGCCCGGCCCGGCCCGCTTGCCTCAAAACTTTCGACCCGGCCCGCCTAGGACAACTTTTCGAAAATTTTATTTTTCGAATGTGCCAAAATGTTTATTTATAATGACACAAATATTAATCCAAATGCATACAACCATCCGAAAAAGTCAATTTAATTGAATTTTTAGCAAAAAAATCAAACTTCTTTAAGCCAAGGATGAAATTTTTTTCTAAAAACGACCTCAAAACAGTTTTTTTCGACAGTATCGGCCTCTAGTGTGGATTTTCATTCACTAAGAAGAAAAACCATCT